AGAGCACTCCTCTACTCTGCAGTACTTAAACTAGGAAAGTTTGAGAGAAATATAAAGGTTGTCAGCTGAGATGACCGTGTGCATAAAACTATTTTCTGAAGTGGGTTTTAAGGACTAAAATGTCATAGTCTACTAAGCCAATAAAGGTAAGAAGATTACACATTCACATCAATCATAGTTTTGCATTTTTGTTTGTGAACCCTTAATAAAATGCTCCTGGGATCAAGGCTGAGGCACTAAAATAGTCAGAGCTTCAGTCACATGTAGGTTTGCCCTTTTTATTAAAACCAGATTTTTTTTTTAATAGCTACCTCTAATACCTCCATCAGGAACAATTTCTAAGGATAGCAATGAATGGCATTCCTATTGCCATTCAAAGTAAAGGTCAAAGGAATTGCTTAAGTAGGCTACTGAAAAACAAATGAATAACATTTACACTTCATAATGTGTCATCAATAGTCCCAAATATATGATGGAAAAGACCTCTTTTTCTCAATTTTATTTTGCGGCATTCATATCTTTTTCCAGCTTTTTAGGGAAGATTGTTCAGAAGATAGTAAGCTTATAGCTCCTAGAGGACCCTAGAGGAAATGGATTATTTGGATTCTTTTCAGTCAGGTTTCAGACCACATTATAGTACTGAAATGTATTGAGCATATTTGTTGATGACTTCTGGAGGGCTCAGGATGGGAGTGGTATGTCTGTCTTGGCCATTTTGAATTTTTCAGCAGTTTTTGATATCATTAATCATGGTATCTTTCTGGACTGGTTTAGGGAGTTGGGAGTGGGGGCACAGTTTTATGGTGGTTCTCCACCTTCCTTCAAGGCTAGTTCCAATTAGTGTTGGAAGTGAGGAGTGTTCTAACATTGCAAGGTGCCTCAAGGCTCTGTTCTCTTCTCACTCCCATTTAATATCTACATATTAAATCTTCACCTATTGGCATGGAGTTAAATATTATCAGTATGCTGATGATATTCAGCTGTATATCTATGCCCCAGGCCACCCAAGTGATGCCAGCAAGATTCTTTCCCAGTGTCTGGAAGCTGTGGGGAAGAATAGACTTCAGTTCAACCCTAGCAAGTCCAAGTGGCTGTGGGTTTTAGGGCTCCATGGATCTAGAGATTTTCCATCTTTGACTCTGGATTGGATGGCACTCTCCCAGACAGAGTTGGTTCACAATTTGGGACTCTACCTGGACTCATGGCTCCTGCATGAAGAGGGGGCAGCTGTGCCAGGAGGGCCTTTGTACCAGTCTACCTTGTATGCCAATTGCATCCATTCCTGGAATTGGGAGGCTGTAATCATGGACCATCATGCTGTAGTCACCTCCGAGTTGGACTGTTATAATGTACTGTACATGGGGTTACCCTCAAAGAGTATTTGAAAACTGCAATGAGTCCAGAATGCAGCAAAAGTGCAATTTTGGGCACACCATGTAACACCACTGCATCACAAGCTGCACTGATTCCCAGTAGGCTTCTGGGTGCAATTCAAGATACTAGTAGTCACCTTTAAATCCCTACACGGCCAGGTTATTTGTGGGACTGCCTGTCTCTGACTACTTCCATTCTTCCCACCAAATCCAACAGGGTAGGCACACTCTGGGTTCCCTCTCTGAAACAATGTCTAGCAGGGCCCATGCACCTGCCTTAAAACAGCATTCTCCCCCTACCCAAGTTAGATGCACCCAACCCTATTAGCCTTCTATAGAACCTTGAAGACCTGACTTTTCCCTCAGACATTCGACCAGGATGTTAGTTGAGCCCAGTATATAAGGAAAGATAGTTTTTTTTCAGATTATTTATTAGGAGCCTTAGTTGCATTGTATTATTTATGTGTGTGTATTATGAGTTTTTTTGGTTATAGATAGTTAAGTTACTGTTCTTACTTTTGCACTGTTGATATGTTTTCATGTATTGTTAGTTGCTCAGAGTCACTATGCTGAGATGGACAGCAATATCAATCAAATAAATACATTCACACATTGCATATTTATTGACAACCAATAAAAGGGCAGTGAAAAAAAAATCTTAAGTATAGTCTATATAAATATAGTTACAGAAAGTAGTTCTGTTTTAGTTCATTCAGCTAAAATACGATTCATTAAAATATGTTTCACACACATTTTCCAAAAATGCCATTTGCTTTATCTATGCAATTGTACAAAAAGTACTATTGTCACTGTTACCTACTGGACAGTGCTTATAATGGGAGCAAAGGCAGCTTCTTTTCTTCTTGCTGGAGGAACACTTCCTATTTAGGTATTATATTCTAGTAAGAGGCAGCACTTAACTGACTTAGAAAAGCTAAGCAGAATCAGACTTGGGTAGTACTTGGATGAGAGATCACCAGGAAAATCCCAGGTCTATAGGTTATATAGATATACAACATATATGACCATATATTTTAATTTTTTTTTTTTAAATCCCAGGAAGTGAAATATCACAGAAGGTGATATTATTATTAAGAAAACTACATAAACTTGTCTTATGTACAACAGTCATCTCTGTATAGTGAGCTGCTGGATAGTTTCAGCTGTTTATGTACTTCTTTTCAATGCTATAGCCTAATTTACACAGAAAATTCTGCCTCCCATCCCTGAGGACAATGATGTGTTCCTCAAGGATGACAATGTTTCACACTGTGCTAATCCATAATATAGTTCACTTAATTTTGTTTGTTGTCTGAATCTAGCCACTGTGATTTATATCTTTAGCACGTATGTGTGAGCCCAGATAATTTTGATTTATTCAACAAATCATGGTTAAGCATGGTTCAGTATGGGTTAGTGTGCTGTGCAGACCCACACTGTTTTACACTCTGACCAGGTGTGCTGTATATCATGTATTGAAGAAAGTGCTGTGAGAAACCACATTAGTAAAGTGGCTGTAGGTCGCAAAATGGGTATCTAATTATGCCTTTATTATTTTAATTATATTATTATGTATTATTGGATTAGACAGTTACTGAATTGGATTATTGGTTTAAAACATTTAAATTTCATAGATTGCCTCACTTATCACTCAAAGAGAGCAACATAATTAGTTATCTTTGGAAGAGTAAACATATTTTTCAGTCCTGCAAAATACTTTTGCTCTTCGATTAGAAACGAAACAGAAGTACCATGTTTTATACTTTTTAAGCCATATTAACAGAAATTCAACTGAGTGGTAAAGCTTGTGGCCATATTGGGATATTTTGAAAAGTTGCTAGAGAAACATTTCATTATTCCCTGAGCATTTTGATTCAACACATTCATTTAGAATTGCAAATTGAGATCAAAAGAGCTTGTGTATATTTGAACTGTATTTCTGTCATCATAATTATCAACATAAGGCACCAACAGTTACAAATTCATTATAATCTATTACACAGTATGTATTGAAGACATCAAAATGTTTATCTTTCATTAAAAAGACAGTAATTTCAACCAGCAAAATAATATAAATTGGGTAAGATGGAAGCAATTCTCTGTCAAACAGTTTTCAAGAAATTTTCAAAATTAATATTTAATTTTGGAGCTTCCTTCTCTAATGTGGTATCCTCCAAATGTATTAGAATACAGTTTCTATCACCTCCCACTAAATATGAAAAGTTGTCCTAGAAAAACTCATTGAAGATGCACATTTATAGTAAGGGCAACACAAAAGGATCATTGGTTTGAAATTGTTTTATTCATTCCACTTGTTTTTCTGAATCTTCTTACGTCTTCATTGTATTTTTTGTAAATTGCCATTGTTTTTCAGATCATTGGTTGCTTTTCCCTGAAATAATTTCCAGCCCTTTGATATTTCAGATCAAGGACTTTTTTCACTCTATTAGAAAATACAGACTTATATAGTTTAATGCTGTTTTTAATATAGCAAACTTCAGGATATTGTAGGAAGAAACCTGGTGGAAGTTCTTCTGAATACACCCTCTTACAGTGATTAAGACAACCCAGGTTCAAATCCATCTTTAGCCACTGAAGCTAAATGACTTGGGCCAATTTCTCTCAGCTCAATCTTCTCCAGTGCTGTTAGATGTGGTATGGGGGGGGGGCAGGGGTCACTATGGAAGGACCATTATACACACTACTCTGAGATACAGGAAGAAAGTTTGGGTGTAAATCTAACAAATAATGAACAAATGACCTACCTCACGTGATTGAGGATAAAGTCAATTAGAAGCAAAAAGAAACTAAGAAACAAGCAGGATGATCTGAACAACTTAAAAAGTTTATTTGTTATGCCACAAATACAATATGCTAGAATAGTACACCGGCCATTTAGGAATAGTAGGTTTACTTCTGCTTTGTAGAGCAAAATGTTGCTTCCCACTAACGACTGACAACTTCGTTGAATGCCTTTCTTTACAAACCTGTGGGATTTCGTCAGAAGCAAATCCACTCCACTCAGCCAGACTTTCCACGGTGGTTATGAAGATCATCGCAACCTGGTCGAATGAACACCAATATCCAATAAAGGCGGAGTGCCTACATTTGCTCCCGGCTGGCTACAGCGCTATCACCTGATTTAGCGTCAAGTGAACGGACACCCCCCCCTCCCAAAAAATACACACACCTTCTGCTGCGGAGGTGCCTTAGGGCTTCCCAGAAGATCAGAGAAGTTTACTGGACGCAGCTATTAGAGCTTCTTTCCGCCTTCCCCCAGACGCATTTTGTCCCTTGTTAAGTTCAGGCGCCAGTAATCCTTGGGCCAGTTATTGGTTTGGTTTTTAAGTGCAAACCCTTGCCATTTATAACCGCTTAATCAGATTTTGCGGGAATTACAACGAGCCTTTTGAAAGGAAAAGCCGTAGTTGGACGGAGCTACCAAAGCGCGGGCCAAGTGGTTTAACCTGATCTCCCCAGGGCCTTCGTCGCGCGAGCGCCTTTCTGCGCTGAGGCGCTTCCTCACGTGGGCCCCCCGGGGGGCGGTGTCGCGTCTCGGGGTTGCTCGGAGTGGTTGCGGCCGCGCAAGCAGTGCCGCGCTAAGCAGGGGTGAAGCCTGGGAATGGCATGGAGGCCCCGGCTTTTCCCTGGGTGGAAGACGGCAGCCCTCCAGGGAACGTGCTGGGTTCAGGAGGACGGCCTGCAGGTGAGTCGGCACGTGTGCTGAGAACTGGGGACCCTGAGTCGGTGAGGTATGCCAGGCTGCTGCTTCTGCCACGAAACGATGGAAAGAGGTCTGACCTGTTGAAACCAAGCGTCTTCGGATGGCGCCTTTAAGATGCCCCAAGACTATTCCACTCCCAGAATAACTTATCTGGAACTTGTCTTTCAGTTTACTTATGTGGAAAAATACTTCCTCAGGTCAGTCAGAAGGAAAAAGACCAGACGGCCCCGATTAAATGTCCTCCAGGGCTTGAGGTGGCAGAAGAGCATTCTGGCATAAACCAGTTTTCTCTTCCTCGCTGATTCCGATTCTGCCAGTGGAACTAGGCCATTGATTGATGCTGTCCTGACTGGTTTAATGTGGGACAAGATAGGGGATTTCCTGGGCCTTCTTTCCCTTACCTGCTGGCAGAGAAACAACCACCGATCACTCTCCTCAATGTGGAGCCATGCAAGTTTGGGTGAATACTTGGAATTGGGTGTTTGGCCACCTGTCATGTCACATGTACAGCAGGTTGTGTGAAGTGAAGTGGGAGCCCCCAATACTAGTGGTTGGCACAACTCTTCCTCTGCACTGTGATCTGTTGGTGAAGCTATTTCTGAAGAGACTGCTGGCTTTGTTTTTTTAAACAGTTGCCAATATGTTAGGAAGGGCATCAAGCATATAGCTCCAAAAAACATAATTTCAAAGATGGTGACATCCAACTGATCAGTTGGATTAAACAATAAAATTAATCAACTGAAAAAAAAGCTCACTGTTAATGGTGGAACATTTTTAAATGCACTGTAATATTTACTTCATGCTTATAAAACCTGGATGATGAACACAATCTTAAATAAGGCATTCTCCTTTTTCTTAGCCAGAGGAATAGTGCTTTGCTAAGGGCCAAAATATACAAAAGTAAGTCTGTGGTTTGCTCTTGAGTGCAAGGTACCTTTTCCTTTTAGCCTGCATGGAAGCCTGATTTGGATTAGAATCCTAGGATAGAAGTATGAATTTTGGAGCTTTGTCCTTTGTTGAAATCCCTACCTGGATTGAGTGTTGTCTTTGAACTTTGCATAATGAAAATACTATTAGAAACTCGATATAAGTAAAAGTAAAATAGCTAGTTATCAGGAAGTACAAATGACTTGCAGCTTATAAATAAGCTCACATTTATGCTAACTTTTTAATATTGAATTCTGTTTGGGGAATCAGACTTGGGTGTGAGAAGGATATTTTTATCTTTGTAAGATAGACTCTCTCTTTGTGCTCTTATTAATTTACTGGCTGCTATTATTGAAGTTCAGAGTTACTGTTCACTAACTCTAGATTCTGTTAAGTTAAATATCCTCATGAGACAACAGTGAAGAGGCTAGCTTTCCTAATAAGGAAATGAGATTGGGAGGTTAGATTAATGGGTTGAAAGTCAAGCAGATATATATAGCATAGTAACCTTACACATTTTAAGTATATTATCGTGAAGCTTATCTATTAGAGTCTTATATTTATTTGCTGAGTTGTGTGTGTGTGTGTATGTATGTGTGTGTGTGTATATGTGTATATGTGTGTGTATATATATATATATATATATATATATGCGCCTTCGTGTCAGCGTTCACTCCTTGTAACTTCCTAGACTAGTCCCTGCAGTTTTTTTAGCAAGATTTCAGAGGTGGTGTGCCCTTGCTTCCTTCCTAGGTCTGAGAGAGAGTGACTGGCCCAAGGTCGCCTAGCTGGCTTTTTGCCTAAGGCAGGACTAGAACTCATGGCCTCCCAGTTTCTAGCCTGGTGCCTTAACCACTACACAAAACTGGCTCTAAATTGTAATTTCTGAGATAAAATCCCCTGCATGCTCTACCTACCCTGTCTTTTCTACTGCATCCTTACCAGTGCCTAGAAATACTGTGATTTTGCTTGAAACCAGAAGAGGGCTGAGAGAGAGAGAGAGAGAGAGAGAGAGAGAGAGATTTATATATTTATTTGTTTATTTATTTATTTATATATTTATTTATGTATGTATTTATTTATTAATTAAACAGTGTAAGTTAATGGATTGTCTGACTTTTTCTTCTGCTGTCAAAGAAAGCACAATTCCTGCTACTGGTTATTTTAGCCAAGGAGCTCAAGTGAGTGGTAATGATTATTCCCATGCCTTAGTTATGTCAGCAACATGCACTGTTGTACATTAAAGAGGGGAAAATATAGCAAGGGCGACAATGCTTTATGGATAAGGAAATCACATGTATTACAGAACAACACTAATTTTGTACCATCTACTATTCAGTATCTCCCTTCTGTAGATACAGAGGGAGAACGCACCAAAATGACAAAGCAGACTTTGTCCAGCATATTAGGTATCTCAAGGGCATATGACATATATTTCACATTGCAGACATACTTTCTGTCAAGTGAGATCCTGAATTTTGCTGACCTAACTTTAAGCATGCTAGAATCATTTTGTGTCCAGCTATGAATCAGTTATAATTTCCCATTGATGGCAGAAGTTTCTTTATTAAGATGTATGTATTATTTGCTTCCTATTATCATTGAAAGATAATTCAGCATTCAGAATATACTCTTATGTCTTAAAATTTTTGCGCTCTCAACTGTTTATTAAGATTAATATAGAAAAGCGATGCAAAGGCCACAACTATTTTGCAGTCCCCAAAGTTTGCACATTTTAAGGAACCAAATTATATCTTTAGGTTTGCAGAGGCTTAAGGCGCCCATTTCACCTTTTGACAAATCCCAAATTCCCTGTGCAAAATTGGAACCTGGCACTACCTACTTTTGGTATATGGCCCTTTTTTGCCACACAAAGCCTGATGCAGCCCTGAAGCCAATAAAAGTTGGTCACCACCAGCAAGTAGCATAAGCCTGTTTTCCCCCGAAGAGAACCAGGAGGGAAAGTGAACGTGTGTTACATGTTATTTTTTACAAAAAGAGGGAGAAGAAAACACAAAGAGAAAACTGAGTACTAGTTTTGAAGGGAATCTGTCTTGGCCTTCTAAATCCACAGCGTTCTTGGATTTGCTGTCTGACAGATAGCAACAAGGTGGACACAGAGTTTGGTAGCACTTTCAAGACTACCAACTATTAGGATATAAATTTCCATGAACAGCTGCTTAGGAAAGTTTATACACTAATAAAACTGGTTAAGTCTTGAAGCTCCTACCAGTCTCTATGTCTCATAATCTGACATGGATCTTCCCCCCACCCCATTTCTACTATAGAAACAAGGTGTGTGTGAGTTCTCTTTCATGCCCTTTATAGGTAGATGAGTAAAGAAAGAATGAAACTCTGAGCTTGTGGTAAGTTTATTTCCTTCAGGTCCCTGAGTCCGGAGTGTATGTGGGATATGATAATACTATCTGGTCCAATGAGCTCATGGCTGAGTGTTCCCTTAAATACCCTAATGCTAAAAGAAGGAGCTAGAAGTGAAGGAGGAATGCTAAAGAAAAAAAATATTTGGTTGAACAACACAAGGGAATAATTACCAGAAGTATAATAAGTTTTTATATCTTTGTTAACCATAATAGCTTTGCTAAATATGTTCACCATATGCCAGTGTTAACCACTTGGATGATTCACTGTAGCATGGTTTATCACTGCAGCATTAGTTATCCAAGGAAATACCAGTACAAATACAAATTTAAGGACAAGTATTGCAATGCAGTGCAAGAGTCTTTTGTATTATTCTTTTATAAAAATTCTGCAAGAATCAGCCTATTGTATAGGATATAACTAAAACTGTATTTCATATCTCCAACTTTAAGCTTCACTTCATTTTTCCTTCAGCTTTAGACACTCAGTCATAATTCCTACCATTGAAAGGGTTTGAGAAACTTATTTTTCCATTAGATCTGTTAATTCTGAATCTCTGAAAATGCCTTGAATCACAAGAGGAAAACACATTAAAGTTTTAGATTTTGAACTGGGAATGTAAGAAACAATCATATTATAGGATTTTTCATTAGTATTTTCATGAAACTGTACAAAAAGGTGCTAGGAGGGATTTTTGTTTGTGTGCCTTTGAATCGTTATTGCCTCCTGGCAACTGCCTGGACTAGCCCCTACAGTTTTCTTGGCGAGATTTCAGAAGTAGCTTGCCATTGCCTTCTTCCTAGGGCTGAGAGAGAGGGACTGGCCCAAGGTCAGCCAGCTGGCTTTGTGACTAAGGCAGGACTAGAACCCACAGTCTCCTGGTTTCTAGCCTGATACCTTAACTTGCTTAGCAATGGAAATTCCGGTCCCAATTGCTTTGGACTCCCTAGGTAAAAGAGCTCTGATTAGCGGGGTCCAGAAGGCGGGCCTTCTCTGCTGTGGCCCCCACCCTTTGGAATATCTTGCCCCCGGAGGTGAGATTGGCCCCCTCACTCCTGGCCTCCAGAGGGATTTGAAGACCTGGCTCTGCCGCTTGGCCTGGGGTGGGGAGGGAAGACATCAAGCATGGGGATGGCTAGCCCCTTAGGGGCCTGCCAT